TGTGTGTGTGTGTGTGTGTGTGTGTGTGTGTGTGCGCGTGCGTGCGTGTGTACTTGTTTTTGTTACCCATTTAGGACCGTTTCCAGTTTACACACCTGGGGACCAAAGACCGGTCCTAATATGGTGGAACTCCATTTTTGGGTTGGGGGTTAGGTTTAGGACCAAGGTATGAATTGAGTTTAGGTTAGTTTTAGGGTCAGGTAGGTACCTGAGAGGTTAGCCTTAGGGTTTGTGGTCAGGGTTAGGCTGTAGAAATGACTGGAAATGAATGGAAGTCCATGAACAGTCCTAATAAGTATAGAAATACAAACCTGTGTGTGTGTGCACAGGCAAAAATAAAAGATGGATTGGTTAGTGAAAGACCTGCCATTAATTAAAGAAATAGTTGCAGTAAAACATCTGTCAGAAAGGCTAGAGAAGCTGTGCTGTTTAAAAAAAAAACTGAAATAAAAACAGAGATCTGGTTTAAAATATGAATGATTTAATGAATTTAAAGTTTGAGTCTCTGTGAAATTTCATTTGGGTCTGAATCCAGCCAGTTTGTAAATAGTTCTTATTTTATTTTATTTTTTGTTTGTTTTTTTAAAGTGGATGGCACAATGACAACTCAGTTTAATAACCAAAGAAACTGGCTTTTCTCTAAAGACGCAGTGTGAATCTTGAGATTTGCCAACGAAGGTGAAACTGAATTGTTAAAGCTAAAATAAGAGGAACACCAGCCAAAAGCTAAACATAGCAAAAGGCTAGCTAAAAGGTAAAAGTACAAAAAAAAAAACTACCTGAAAGTACAAAAACACTAGCTAAAAGTTGATTGCAAATAGATAGTTTGATGCATTTCTATGGGGGGAAATATTTGCAAATAAAGTTTAAGTATAAAAGTTACAAAAACCAAAAGTCTTGTACACACAGAAATAATAATAAAAACAAAAAAATGTGAATTGAAATCAGCACAAACRCAATCAGAGCGAACGCGACGCTGCATTGAGAACCAGATGGTCACAAGGTGGAGTGTTGTGACAATAAAWGATCATCAGATGAATATTGCAGCGCCAAGATTTTGCAGAAACAGACGATATAAATGTCAACGCCCTCTCATGTGCACTGACCACCGATTTTTCACTACACGGCAGCAGCTCATGTGAAAAGGATGTGGTAATGCTGCTGGTAATCCCTTCCTGACAGTCATCCATAGATTGTGTTAAGGCTTTTAAATGTCTGCAGAAATAATATAAAATTACAAAGGGAGAACTGTGATCAATGAGGGGGAAACTTATTACCGATAAAGTGCTCCGTTATTTCATACATGGCTGAACATCATCCAAATGTCATTAGTGTTTAAGTCTCAAGTGGCACAGTGTGGTTCAGTGGCAGGTATTGGGGTAAAACGAGTGAATTCAATAGACGCCTGTCAATAATACTCTTCACTTTTATTGTGAAAAGCATCAAAGATGAAGTGCGGAGTCCATTCACAACAGCTTTTTAAACAGGCTCACACATTTTCCATTTAAAACCCGAAAATGTCACGTACCCTGGATTATGTGTGGGTTCATTTATGATTGTATTTATGATTATTTAATTACGCCTGTCCCTCTTTTTATCGAGACATCTTCTTGTGTCCAGCCTGTTCCCAGTTGCAAATGTTACTCTCGGCCTTCTTAGTTGTTCATTTCCACTCACCGGTCTACCGTTTGCAGTCAGTTTAGAGGACAAGAGGTGACGCTTTCAGCTTTGAGAGTGCTGAGATGAAAAATGAAAAGGTGAAATAAATAGGCAGTGAACAATGTGGCCGTTTCAAAAAGAGGAGCTGAGTAACGAGGTAACTGGCAGATAAAGTCTCATCCTGATAATGATGTGCAGCTGGGCTGACATGGTGAAAACTGACCATTTCATTCATCTTTGCAAGATCTAGAACTTAAGAAGTAAGACAGAAGTGATGCCCTTCAGGCTAAGTGTAGGAAAAAAAGTGATTTTCATTTCCCTTCAAGTGTGTTCAAAACGGCGTACGACTGATGTGCAATTTAGTCAAAAAGGCTATTATAGAGTAGAATCTAGCAGGAAGGAAAAAGGCACTTTCATGAAGGTTCAAGCCCTGTGAGCAAAGGCCAGACTGTTCCCTTGAATTTTTCTTACATCCCAGAGGCTCACATGCCCACCCGACCTTTGAACCTGACTGTGTCCAGTCAAGCCCACTGAAATAATGAGAGATGAAGCGCCTGTCCCTGCGGAGCGGGGGGCATGTGCGAGTTTATGTCACACAGCTCCAGCTGCTCTTCAACAATCATTAAGTCAAGCTGCATCTCAAAAGCTTAGTGCTCCAACTACACATCCCAGCATGCTTTGGGCTTCTTCTGATGAATCCTCGAGAACCCAACAGCAGACCCAAGAGTGCAGGCGGCAGGCAAGACTTCACAAATGTTTAATAATTTAAACAGTTAAGTGCAACATAAAGATGGTTTGAAAAGGGTTTACAAGGCTTGAACAATAGGTACAGCACAATAAAATATACTGTATACAGTGAAATGAGTTGCTGAAAGGAACAAAATGCCGGCTAAAAGTGAAATGTAGCAAAAAGCTAGTTAAAAGCTAAAAGCTGCAAAAGGATTGCTAAAAGCCTGAAGTGGCAAACACTTCTACTTCTTCTAGGGTATGGAGTGTCGCTTGTAAAGTTACACAGTCAAAAATTACCACCAATATTTTTGTTTTATTTAGCCTTTTATAAGAAAAAAAAGAACAGATTTATTTTTCACAGTCAGGTTTTCACCACATGATTCATACATTTATAAATGTCATAGTGTATAAACTAAATATTTAACTTACAAATTAAATATTTAGTTAAGAAGATAAATATTTAACTTGTGACTTAAATATTGAGTTTTGAGCTAAATGTTTAGGTTGCAACTTAAATATTTAACTAGCTACCTAAATATTTAACTTGCTAGCTAAATATTTAGTTTCAAGCTAAATATTTAGCTCAAAACTAAATATTTAAGTCACAAGTTAAATATTTAGCTTGTTAACTAAATATTTAATTTGTATGTTAAATATTTAGATTATAAACTATGACATTTATAAATGTATGAATCATGTGGTGAAAAACTGACTTTGAAAAATAAATCTGTTCTTTTTTTTCTTATAAAAGGCTAAATAAAAGAAAAATGTTGGTGGTAATTTTTTACTGTGTAACTTTACAAACGGCACCCCATACTAGTGTACTTTTGAAGAGTTAAACACAAAAACAACATATTTATATATAATCCGACTTCAACATTGTCTATATCGCTCAAAAAGAGACATTGCTCAAAATTGTCTCGTGGCCACATATTATTTTCTTTTTCAATGCCACTGGACTTGCGCCAAATAAGTCATATGCATGAACTTTAACTTTTACATTTCTAAAGGGACCCAAACTTTCTCATGTCACAACTAGAAAATTTGAACACAGCGGTTTTTCTCCTTTTACGTGAAAACAAAGTAAAAGTAGGTCTCTTCTGAGAAACTGCCTTGGACTGAAAACAGCAGCTGACTGCATCAAAACTGACAAAGCTTCACAGAAAGAAAAAATAAACAGTGCAGGATGTTTTTATAAAAGTTCTGTAGGTCTGAATTTCTGTTTATCTGGTCTTGTTGGAATGTCTTTTTGGATTTTGTATGTGTCTTCCAGCTGATAAACTGTAACTCCCCCTTGTTCCCTTTTGCCTCATAAAAGAACGAGCTGCAAATAAAGATCCAGTCAGAATAGATACGACTGTGGGTGTGGAGGCAGAATAGATCATGAAACAACTGTTGTCGAGACTTAGTGAGGAAAGAAAAAAATCCAATATTAAAAAATAAAAAATACACCAAAAACACCAGACTCCTGGTAGGTGAATTTTGATATCACCTTAGAGAAAAATACTACTGCACATAGTTTACTTATTTTAAAATCCAGATTTAGGTTTCTATAGGTCTCATGTGGTAAACATGGAATAAAAACACTCGTTATGATAGATYGTAATTGTTGCTAGCATAGAAAAACAGCTCATCAGTACTTTTCATGTTGCTGTAATATCCTCAATTTAGCACAACACCAAAAAAAAAAATAATTAATTAATTAAAAAAGAGATAAAGATAATAAGAAAAGAAAACATACTGTGCAGAAAGAGAAAAAGCCAGTATCAGCAGGGACGGATGACAGAGAAAATAAACYCAACTTGAAGTTTCCTTTAACAACAAATGCACAACAAGTAGTAGTATTACACATTTTTTTCTGTCATGTGGAGTAAGGTTTAAAACAGGAGCAGCAGGAAGCAGGCAGAATCAGAACGAATATGTATATAAATGCTGCAGAGGTGAGGATCTCAGTTTCATGTCTTGGTGGAGGGAATGCATTCAAACCTATCACAAACAGGTCAACATAAACATAAAACTGCATTTTCCCCACTTTTCTTGAATACYCTACCTCAGTTTAGCAATTGTCATATATAAGTCTAGCATTGTTTAAAGAAATGTATTTGTATCTTTGATACTGAGAAATGCAGTGGTGGGCCCAGTTCCCCTAAAGCACTAATAGGGGAACTAATTTCYTGATTAGTKCTTTAGGGCTTTTGCTAATTTTAAAATTTATTAGTGGATTAGCTTTTGCTAAATTTATAGGCTAAATTTAGAAGCACTAACTGAGGTTTATAAATGGTATTGATCAACATTATTGTTAACAGCTGATGGTGAAAGCTGTCGCACATTTTGTTCATATATGTGTCACTTATTCACTAGGTGACAATATATGAACCCAAATACAGCTGTGGAATGTCAATGATGAGTATTCAGAGAGCAACATGAGAATATGTGACTCATGTTGTCTGTTAAAGAATGTTCATGGGTTGACTGGGTTGTTTTAGTGCTTTAGATTTCGTTTTTGTTAAAACGTTCATTGCATTAGTGCTTTAGAATTAGGGGACCTAAATATTTGAGKTAGTGCTTTAGAATTAGGGGACCTAAATWTTTGAGKTAGTGCTTTAGAATTAGGGGACCTAAATATTTGAGTTAGTGTTTTAGGGCTWGTGGAACTAATTTTTAGATTAGGGCTGTCCACCACTGGAGAAATGGAAAATTTTGAACAATTTTGGTCAAAGTTTGAAAAAAAATTAGAAAAATAGGCAAGTAACATCGCAGCAATCTGTTAGCATTCAAAATATGATAGGAATGACTCTCAACTACTTAACACGCCTTTTTCTTTCAGGGTCACTGCCCATRTACAGCAGTTACTGTGCGTGGAGTGGGGTACACCCTGGACAGGTCACAAGTCCATCATAGGGCCACATAGAGACAAACTATTCACTATCTCTCTCACAAGTTACCAATCAGCCTAACAGTCATGTTTTTYTTTTCTCTTTYGTATGTTGGAGGAAGCTGGAGTACCTGGAGAAAACCCACTTACACACARAGAGAACATGCWAACTCTACCCAGAAAAGCCCCAGTCCGAGAATTGGTCCAGCAACCTTCTTTCTGGGAGGCAACAGCTTTGAGCCAWCATGCCGCCTCTCAGCTACTATCACACATCCAATTTTAGCTCAGTGTTTGTGAAAAATGCTGAGCTCTAAATATTTTTGATTAGCTGTGGCAGACATGTTGAACTGACTTGTCTCCAAAAGGTTGTATGTGTAGATCCACTGAATGCTCTCATAGTTTCATTAAAATCTATTCAGTGATTCATGAGATATTTGGCTAACACGGCATACAAATGAACACACATTGACTAGCTTTCAGWGGCAGGTGATAATGATGATGAACTGAATGGTAAAAAAGAGATGGTGTATAGAAAATGTTTTATTATTATGAGACTAATGTAAAATCTGTATCAAACCTATTAACAGATACRTGCATATTCTGTTAATTACTGCCTYTTWATTTGCCTGGACTCCCTTGTAAAGAAGCATTTTTGTTCACGTCAACATTTTTTCTTGTTTTAATTGTTCAATGAATGAATTAGTTCTCACTTCACCCATGTTGTCGTCCTGTTTGCCACCTCTGGAGAACTGGCTGGTCAGCTGGTACAACACAGTGTGTCCGTGTTTCCTTGCATGACTAAAGCGAGARCTGGTCTTCCTCCTGCACCTCCTGTCTTCTGAAAGTGCCACACAATTGAGAAAAATGAAATAAACCCCCCCTCGAACAGAACACCCTTTTATGTTTCCTATTACTCTTAGACGCAGAAAAATGTGTTTCATTGAATTGCATTATGGCAACATCGACTGTCGATGTCTTCTGGCATTTAGTGCAGCAGACTTTGCTCACGTTCCACCTGAAAACACACACAGCTGCCAAAATCAAGCTCCATTTTGAAAAAATGCTGTCTGAGTTTTAGTGAATGAATGCCAGCTCAAACAAAACTGCTGCGGAGGACGTGACAGTGATTAAAMGCACTACAATAGAAAAATATAACCTGAGTGTGAGCTCATAAATCACATAAAAACTGTTTTCTTTTTCTTCTGTACAACACATAGTCTGAAAAGTTATGTCACCATAAAATTCAAAAGGACCTTCTTTGTTTCTATTTTAATACAGCGGGTAAAATAAGTATTGAACACGTCACCATTTTTCTCAGTAAATATATTACTAGAGG